AGATTATATATATATATATATATATATATATAAAAATTCCCCTTACCTTTATTTTAAATATGTATGAAGCGGTTTGTCTGGAGTTCAGCTTTACATTAATTCACAGGCATAAACAGCTAACATGAGATGTCACTTTAGCATTCTATTGCAAACAATGCACTGTCTGTGTAGCAGATATCAGCAACTGTTAGGCTGGCCATACACCTGAACAATCTGATTGGATGCAAGCATGGTCAGGTATTTTGAGAGCCAGCGGGGCCGACTAGCAAGATACTGAAGCTTGGCCCAGTGGGAGATTCCTCCATCCACAGACTAGCGTAGATGGAGGAATCTGCTGCACTTTTTCCATCCGACGATAGAAAATCTGCAGATAATCTATAGGTGTATGGCCAGCTTTAGGCAATTAGAAAAGTACATCAATCATAGTAAACAATCCATCTAACCTCTAGTTGCTAACCTTCAAATGTGCTTAATGTATGTTTTGGTGTATAGCTGAATACACTATACTTTACCTTTTAATCTTTTAAGCCCAGTCCTGGGCAAAAACAACCCCCCCATCCCAAAAACAAAACAAAATTCCTTTTTACTGACCTTAAGTTCCACGTCACTGCGTGCATGATATGGACACTTCCTATTGGTGTCAAACACTTTCAGTGGCAGGGTCCCCTCGCATCACTTAGGATGCAGAACTATACGTGGGTGGGGAGGGGACAAGTCCTCAAAGAGCCAATGAGCACGGAAAGTGCCCAGTTCTCACGGCAGGAAATAAGCTTTGCACATGTGACAGATATTACAGAAGATGTGCGTTCAAGCAACACTGAGCAGTAAGGCACAATGTACTATTGTATTTTTGCCTAGAGTTGGGCTTTTAACTAATTTCATAATTGCTGGAAAACCTCCCACAGTCATACAGAAGATATTTTTCAATCATCAAAATTAAAAAAAAATTACCTTTTGCATCCCTAACCCAAGGCTACAAGTGATTCCACTGTTGCTGAAAAAAGCATGTTTTCCGTTAGTGGAGAACTCATTTGTGGAACATTGAGCTCAGTGTGCTGCTAACGTGCCCGTTACGCTGATCTTTACTAGTCAAGCTACCACCTGAGAGGATCTCCACATCTGACATATTTCCTGTGTGTTGCATGCTTAGGCCTCTGCTACGACATAGTGAAGTAGAGGCCAGCCAATGGAACCACGGGGCTTGGCTGGGGTGCAGGCATCCGACATGCCTAAAAAAAAATAAAAAAATAAGTGTTGGATGTGAAGATTTTAGTTCCACGTCACAGTCTGTAACTTTACAAAAAAGCAAAAATCTGAGCAACAAGGCCAACATAAGCTCTACAAAAAATATGTAGAGCTAAAGTGCCGAGACAACAGAAACAACTCCCAGTGTAACCATAGAGAAAAACCACAAATAAAAAAAAGGTAGACACGACAAGGCCAGGATTCTTTTTTTTTTACGTGTTTTAATATTTTCCTTAATTTAGTGGGAGCTTTTCTGTCCTTCCATCGAAGAAACAAGTGCAGAACATTGAATTGAAATTGACAATGAACTTAGAGCAGAAATTAATACAGAAAAAAAAAGAAACATCACCACACATTTTTTTCTGTTTTGTCAACATGTAATGCCCTGGGTTTTATTTCATAAGAATTCTTTTTTTTTTCTTCCCACAATATATGTTCCAGGATTTAAAAAAAAAAAAAAAAACAAAAAAAAAAAAAAAAACAACCTCATGGATCGTGTATGCCATTGGAACTGGGCATTCAGACTTTGCTACTGACAAAGCATTAGTAGTCTGTAAAGTACCATGCTCTTCACAGAAGAGAGCTCATATTTCCGAAGGAAGGCACCCGATAGTTGTGGTTCTGGCCCTGCAGCCTTCTGGAGAGAAATCGGGGAACAAAAACAAATAAAAAAGGAAAAAAGCTGGCTAGTTTAGAAACTGGAATGATGATGCATGTACAGCAATTACTGCATTCTTCTCCCTTATATCCTTTTTTTTCTTTCTTAAGAACAAGTAAAGAATGAAGTCTTAACAATTACACAATAAAAAAATACAATTTTTTAAAGTGTTTTTTCTTTTTTTTTTCTTAAAAAAAGGGCAGACAACATAAAAAAAAAACTCCAGTTGAATGGACTCCATTTGCATACTTGATTTAACACTTTTTTGGTGTAGGAGGAGATGGGGCAGGAGGAGGGGGGCTTGTTTGTAAAGCAGCAACAAAACCTTTTAGTGCCTGAAGTACCAGAAACCACCCACGTGACGTACAGGTGAATGGGGGATGGGAAGATTTGAGACTTCATTATTATCTTGTAACTTCTGAGATTACAAAAAAAGGAAGATCCCTACTGAGTACATTCCCCATTTAATAAATGATGCCTTTTTTATTTAGTTTCTTAAGAATCTGTATGTATGTCACCATTTCTTCACATGATACACAGAGAACTCAGGGACCCGGTGGGGAACCAAGTTATGTTATACCATTTACAAAATACCAAGGAGTCCACAGCTACCTAACACATTTACTACAGCACAGGAACCAATGAAGGTACAGTGTACAAAAAACTGTAAACACGGCACAATAAATAGATAAAACAGCAGGTTCCGCACCATGCACATGATGTGATGACACTTCTCATCTCTATACAATCTCACACTCTTATTTTGTTGCAGTTTTTGTTTCCCGTATTTTTTTTTCTTTTTGTTTGTCCCCCCCAGTGCAAAGCATCACAAATGAACAGTTCTGTATTCAAGTAACATATATACAAGGGTATTACAAATATGCAGTACTGTACAGATAATTGCTGTATTCATAATTTACAGGAGTTTTATTCTTTTCCTATTAACAGTACGAAAAAAAAAGAAAAGAAAATCAAAAGCATGAGAGATGTGCGTTGCTGTCGAGTCCCCACAGCTGCCATGGAAACGCAGTGTGTGTGCTGCTTCCCATCATCCCTTGCATTCATAATGCTACTGATGCATAGCACCTAAACAAGTTCCCAAGGCTGCAGTCCTGTTCCTGTGCAAACTACGTCACTTCCATCGCTACTGTGTTGTCCGTTATACTGTTCAATGCTGGCTTTTCCGTGTCATGGTTGTCCCTGTAAAAAACAAACACAAAAAAACATTAATAATGCATAAAGAAAACAAAGACAGTACAGAAAAGAAAGACAGTACAGAAAAGAAAGACCTTGGGAACGGAGCTCCCAGGTACATATTTTGATGTGCTCCATATATTGGGGATTCTCTTTCTATTAGGACATATCAAGTCCTGTCCATTTTTCTGATAACTGGAAACATCTAGTAGAGCAGGGTGCGGATTTCAGTCTCCATGCCTGAGGCTTCTCGGATAGTTTTAGCATTTCTTTAGACTGATGACAATAGTCTGCAATGTTAGGTGTGGTTCACAAGGTAAAATGATCCCACTGGCCCCAATATCTCACAATGTACATGGCTCCTAAAGAACTCTGTTCTGGACATCTATATTAGAGTAGGTGCTGTCTGTGAGGAGTAGCCAGAAGTCAGAGTGTTCATGTAATAGATTTCAGCATTACACCTGCACAATGGTTGTCTCTACAATTGACACACTAGAGTACTGGGAGCGCTGATACAAGAGCATAAGGATATGTACATTTGTGTTTTCATTCTATTATAAAACAGGAATAATTGCATACATTTTAATGAAGTTTTACACCAACACTAGCTGAATGTGATGTGCTTCACACTAGTGTTTCCAAGCATAGAGAAAAATGAATGCCTGACTTCATGTAGTCCTGATTTGTTCACCTTTTTATGTATTCCTTGTATTAAAAACCGAAGGAAACCCTCCACTGTTTTTCTTCTGCTTTCTATTGACTTTCGTAGAAAAAAAATTAAACCAAAACAAAAAGTCTAACAAAGAAAAAGTACTATGTTCCAGAGAGGTTATAAAACCCTCTTTTCCATATATTTATAGATCTAGTGAGCCCCTGTTCCTCAGGATGTGACCTATGTTATGGTCCATGTGTTTGCCAAGTGCTGAATTCTGGGGTCTGAATATCAGCCTCTTCAAGTTCTTAAATATTGTTGGTCTAAAAGAGGGAAACAACACTAACAACAAACAGATCTCACACCAGGAGCTTCCGATGTCAGAAACCTACATGACAGCATGTCATTCCATTCTACACCATGTTTAATTATTTCCAGGGCAAGCACCTCACCACTACCATAGAAAGCCATGAATTGGGTCTAGCCAAGAATTATGCTGGTGCACATCTAAAGCAGGTGAGGTCAGCAGACCACCCAAATCAAAGATGGTGATGTTGCACAAAACAGTCTATTGAGAAGATATCTGTAAAAAATAAGTCAAGGCAACTGGATTTGCTGTATTTTTCTTGATGACGTTTCACTGGACATGCAACCAGCTTTATCAATTCAGAATGACTTGTACAAAAATTATATGGGAAAAAATATGGTGAATGTTGCTCCAATCCACATAATATATTAGTCACAACCAGGTGTTCATTGCATAATTGGAGTCTAGGAGGTGTTATTAACCTGCCCAGAGAGAGGTGTTAAAACAGTCTATTGTATCTAAATACAGGAGGTTTCCATGCTTTAGTGTTTGTAACGCTTATTGGGCTGTCTGATATGAAATTCCAGCACTAGCTTTGCATTTTATTTTAACTTGTAGCTTTTCAGTCTTGCAGACTAAAAATCTAAAGGACAGTCGCTAGAACAGAGGAGGAAGGTATGTACTTTGCAAGTAATTCAGCTGTTTGCGTGTAGCTTAAGATCCTGATGTTTGGGTCTGTAGAGTACAGCAGTAAGAAAGGATATAATGCGAGCGGGATCAAAATCAGAGAATATCCCGAATAGGCAGCTTTAGGGGGGCCAACCAAACCAAGCTGCCATTTCACAGCATCACTTAGGAGTGAAGGGGGAACAATATGAGCAACACCTTGTAAAAAGGCATTAACCAAGGAGCGAATGGCCAGTGGCCTTTGAAACAGAATAGCCAGGGCTGAGATCTGCTCCTTGATGGTGCTCAGGGTCAGACACACATACAAGCCAGTCTGGAGGTAAGACCAATGACCAGTAACTAAGTTAAGAAGAATTAGTTACTTACGGCAAGAAAATGGCAAATAGGGATTAGAGAGAGTTAACCTAGTGCTAGGGGTTAGGGCCACAGGTCTAAGGTTTGAGAGTCAAGGTAGTGTTACGTTTCAGAATTAGGTGTTAGGGGGTAGATTGATTAATTTAAGGGATATGTTACATTTCAGAGCTTGGGTAAAGGGAGGGTTAAGCGTTAATGAAATCCAATGTCACCTAGTAGTGGATATTTTTATATTTGTCCTGTTAAAACTGGAAGACTGGTCCATTTCATTGCCTTGATACATGGAGAAATGTACGGACTTATCGCTGTCTCTATTAAGGTAAATGATATTGAAGTATCCAGTGCTAACAATGCTACCACATGCAACACTAAGGTCTCGTTCACACCTAGGCGTATTGCATATGCGCGATTCACGGTAAAAAAGTTGCACGACAAACGCGCGTTTCCGAAGGCTATTTGGCTGTATCACAATGAAAACGCGCAACAAAACAGCCCAAAGTAGTACATGTACCTTTTCAGGCGTGGGCCGTTTTGTAGCGCGTTAGGGATGGGCGGAAATACGCCAAGGTGGGAACGAGATTATTGAATACAATGGGATTTATATTTTTGAGCGCTCGTCGAGCGTAGAACGCGCTACAAAAAGTTCAGGTGTGAACGAGGGCTAACATGTAAAGACAGTGTGAGAGCATATGCACAAGTTTATCAAGAACCACATCTAGGCAAAGCAATAACATAGCAGGCCTGTAGAATGTGAAGTTCAGCGTTTGATCATTGTGAAGTTCTTTGATTTCTATGGAGAGACATAGAGGGGTTCACCTAAAAAAAATGTAATAAAAGAAACACAGAGCTGCGATTCACAACAACCAATCCCACCTTGGATTCATTCTCTGTGTATCTCTAAAAATTATAGCTAAAAATTGGATAACAATTAGGGATGCACCGATACTAGTATTGGTGCCGATGCCATGTATTTACTAGCCAAAATGCTCCGATGCCCGGCCCAATACTTGGGCTGCCTGATTGGCCCGGGAAGCCATCTCCATGCTTCCTCATCACCTGGTGACGAGGAAGCATGGAGACGGCTTCCCAGATAACCAGGTGGCGAGCGCCTTGGTTCCTTAGTGGGACTTCTGGTATCGGTATTGGCGAGTACCGGAAAAAAATTATCAGTACTCATACTCGATACTGAAAAACCAGTATCTGTGCATCCCCTAATAACAATTTCTACCTTAAAATCAGACAAAAGAAACCGGTTTACCAGCACCAGTTCCCACACATGCTCCTCATATGTATGTGGGCAAAGTTTCTGCATCCATTGTAAAAACTATGAAACACTGGGACTGAACCAGAATGCTGCCATGAGTCTGGTACATAAATAAATAGCTCTCTAACAGAACCAGTAGGGTGGCTGCTGCAGACAAAGTATGTACAGTGTTAAAGCTTCCCAAGAAAAGCCCACCACCACAGTGTACAAATACATAAAAGAACAAAATATGAAGCACAATCTTACCTCGGTACTCCATCCACAGAGGTTGCTGCTGGAATCTTGGGTACCTGACAGTTTGCTGCTGCTGCTGCTGCAGCCAGCTTTAAGGCAGATGGGGCAACAGCACTTAAAGTCCTAGGTAAATGGCGTGCATTAAGGGTGTTTATAGAGTTTACAGTGGCAACGGAGGAGGGTACAGTTAATCGGATGTTATTCCCAATCAGGACCTGAGTTGTTGCAGAATTGGCAGCAGTTACTTGGTGACTCAGAGTGCTGTGGGAAGTAGCAGTCTGTGTTATACTGGAAGGCTGTAGCAATGCTGAACCAGTCGAAGATGAAGAGGATGATGACTGACTTGTGTGTACGAGTGCTGCAGGCGTATTACTACTGAGGTGTAAGCCCTTGTAGACTCCTGTCACCAAAAAAAAGAAAGCAAAAAGAAAAACTACAGTCATCATCTGATCAACAATAAAGGTTAATTAAAACTCTTTAAACTAAACCATCACACCCTGTACCTGAGGCTTGAAGGATGCCATTCACTCCAATTCCAAGGACCACATCTTCCTTCATTTTGAAGGTCATCAGCTGCTCAGACGTTACCAAAGCTGTAACAGCAAACTGCGCACTAGCAGAGTCCAAGGTCTTTGAAACAAAACCCTAACGAAGGAAGAAAACAGCATATTAAACACAGTCCAACATCAAACTCCTTAATAAAAAATGATCACAGGTAAAAAAAAAAAAGGGCACAATACAAATCTGGATACAATAGGATACTACATTCTGAAACCTGTCCCTCTTCCTTTGTATGTCATTTAAAAAAAAAAAAAAATGGATTATTAAAGTACACTTTTCCTAAGAAAAATATGGAGACTCGAGTCTGATAATACTAGTTACCTGGCTGTAATGTGTATATTTTGGTTTAAATGCTTTCTAGCTTCTAAAAAACTTAATTGTGGTTCCTTACCAAATGGTCAATTAAAACCCAGAGGCAAAAGAGATTCTAGAAAATACTAGAAACTCGTGCAGCATTTAGCAAAAATAGCCAATCAAAACACCTTACTAATGGGTTGACAATGAGGAGGGGTGGGGACGACTCCTGCCATGCTTATTTGTAACCTTTACAGAAACTCCCTATCAATAAAATTTAAAGCAGATCTCCAGGATTTTCAAAAGTTAACCCTTGCAGTGAAGGAGTACCTCTACTGTCACCCGAGCAAACTGAAAACACGGCTGTTAGGCCAGGTTCACACCATTTTCCATACCAGATCTGGAACGCGACGCATGGCGTTTTGCTGCGTTGTGGCATTCCAGAGTGTTTTTTTCTTTAGCTTAAAATGGGCTTTCAGGTGCGGTGCATTTGTATGTGTTTTTGATGTGTTTCCATGCATTCCAGATGAGAGAAAATGAGACCGGCAGTATTTTTTTTGTCTGGTCTGGAACACACTGCACTGGAGGTGAACAGAGCCTAGAAATACTATAGGGATACATTCGGATGCTTTTTTGGTAAGGAACAAACTGTCCCGGTCTGGACATGATCCAGACATGGTGTGAACAAGCCCTTTAATCAACTGGACTACATGACCATCTTGTCCAAGTTTCAGAACATGTCAAACTTCCATGTAGATCATAAACTAGGTAGCAAAACTTAATGGTGCAAAATTTCAATAAAAAGGTAATCTTGTGCAAGTCCAGGTTTAAAAAGAGGTATGAATTATGAAGTGATTATGTACAGTAAACTCCCCATTACCGGACATTCCAGCAACCAGAAAACAAAATTAAGCACACAATATGTCCCTCAGTTTTTCTGCCAGTTGCTTGACAGACATGTGCACACAAATTGTTTTTGCTAGCAACTAAATTTAGTTGCTAACAAAATTCTCTGTGTATATCTTGCTGCGGCCGACAGCTAGATTCCTCAGTTGGCAGGTTCAATAGCCAGCCTGCTATTGGCAATTTGAAATAGCCAATAGCAGAATCTAGGCGGCAGATGAATGGTGCAGGCGGTTATGTTGTTGCATGAGAGTTAATTGTAACTCTCAAGCAACCAGAAACTAGTTATCTGGCATCTACCAATCCCCATGGGTACTGGATAACTGGGAGTTTACTGTATATATGTAATAATCCACTTTTAATTTCCTGGGAGAAAACAAAGCTCTCTAAACTACTGTAACAAAATGCCAAATACAGATACACAGTGAAAATGTAGGTGGACAAGAACATTTCCCAACACAACCTTCAGCAACTTAGATCCATGTAAATTTAAAATTCAGCTGAGAGCTGAAAAGTGGACGACATGATACAAGAAAACTGCATTACCTGTGAAGTGTTGACAGATGAATTGTTATTGGCCTGCTGTTGATGTATTTGAGCAAGCTGTTGTTTTTGCATTAGTGCCAGTTGTTGTTGATGTTGCTGGTATTGTTCGGCTGTAAATGCTGAAAATAACAAAACTAGATCAGAACATTTCTAAGAAAATACAGAAATACCTTTACAATAAAACTTGTCAGAAAACAACTTAAAGATGTGTATAAAAGTCTGATTCTGAAGATTTTTTTTGCATAAAAAAAACTAGTTGAAGTGTATGTCAAGCTAAAACCTTTTCTTCAAGTTTAGGATAGTGTGGTTAAGAATTAGAATGGTCAGTTTTTACTGCTCTCCGGGGCTCTGTCCTACTGACAATGGTTTAACCAGAGAGGAAGTGAGGCAAAATCTGCACCAGTGGCACAAGACAAATACAGAGATGACAGGTTCTAGCCTTCCCCTACTCTAAGAAAGCATTGTTTTTCTGTCTGTGTTGCTGTTGTAGTTTCCATCACTTCCTGTCTTGTAAAACATTGTCCACAGGACAGAAATGGAGGGGAAATCTTTCCAAAGGAGACCAGAATAGCAATACAAAACCTGACAGGAGTTCTAATCCTTCCCACGTTATCCAAAATTAAGAATGAATGTTTTGGCTGGACATGCTTAAACTTCTATCATATATCAGCTTTACCAGAAACAATGTTACAGAACCAGTTAGAGCATCTGTATTGACAGGCTGCGATAGAGAAAAAGCATCATGCTTTGACATTAGTTTAAGATGCTTCTGGGAATCATTGCAGGTGCATTTGACCTACTGCAGCTGCTGTTACAGTCCCAAAAACGTGTATGGGGAGAGAAGCCGTTCTAAAGCAAACATGAACCCATTGAGGCCTTTACAGTTTTGAGAATGAATATGGGATGAGGAAACTGATAGGACAACACTTACAACTCCCTATGTGTTCGCCATATGACCATTTCTATTGTTTATCATGGGATTAATAAGGTCTAAAAGTAATCCCATCACAAGGTAAACATTTGTTTGATTAGGCCCTGATGGAAGTGGCCATCCCCGCCCTATATGCATGTCATGCAGCTCTTGCAGTAGTTTGCTGGTGAAATAGGTCACTGGTTGGGAACTATGGCTGCCTTACACCCCTCCATGCACACTTGGGAAATCCCTAGATGCAAGTTGATGCTAAAAAAAAAAAAAAAAAAAAA